ACTCTGAAGACATGAAGCTGCACTATGGTGATCTCACGGACAGCACCTGCCTGGTGAAGATCATTAATGAAGTCAAACCCACTGAGATTTACAACCTGGGAGCTCAGAGCCATGTCAAGGTGAGTAGCTTCCAGCACTGGGAATTGTGAATATGCAATGGTCGTGCTGTGCTACTCCAGTTATTTTAGCCTGCAGCACTTTTAGCCATTTTAGCAACTGCTAGTTTTGACAGGTAAAGTGTCTTAAAGAACTGTACTTGCTATGGTGCTGAATTACTGCAATAAATTTGATACTGAATATGCAATTAGATGTTAGAATTGTCAAATTGTTTTAGATGAAGTTAAATTGTCATTACTAACAAGATCCCTGGGTTTTGAAATTTAGCTTTTTCACCATTTGAAGCAATTTTGCGTGATGTGCTGCACCTCCTCCCTAGTGGTAGAGGAAAGTGATGTTGGACGAAACGGTGTTTCAAACAGTATTATTTACACATGCATTTCAATGGGACAGATATATGTATCGAAGAGTGTCATTTCCAGGAAGATTCATCTATACCATTTTTATATAGGTAGTATTCTTTGAAAGGCTATCCTATAAATGGAGAAAACAGCTTCACTATTATTTGTTTAGATTTTCTTCTTTCCCTCCTTTTTTTTTTTTTTCTTCCTTTTTTTTTCTGGTTGAAAAATCAGGTTATAGAAACTGAAACAAAAAGGACTTGTTGAAGATGACTAATCTGATCCTGTCAAACAGTGCTGTATTGTAAGGACAGAATATAAACAGTAGAGTGGGTAACTTGAATTCACATTGCATATATGTTAAGCTGCAGTGCTCTCCAAACACAGAAAAGCTCATTTTAATAGGTGAACTCCTATTTGAAAAAAAAAAATCATTTATGGGCAAGTAGTATATTGTGGTTAAAGTAGATAGTGGATGAACCATATGTCTTGTCATTACTCTGTGCAAAGTGAAAGTATTCCTGAATGATAACATTCCCTAGCTTCTCTTGACATGAGAACTGAAGGAGCACTGAAGAGTTTAAGCCTTGTGAAAATCGGTTTGGCTTTGGTTTTGCAACTCAGCCCTCTTACAAAAGACCACGTGTTGCTGCTATCAAACTATAGGCCTGGGCTGGTATCTCCCAAACTTCAAAACTAGTCCAGTGCCTACCATTTTCAGACAGAAATAGGGGTTAGAATAGGGGATTTGGCTACCTGCTGGAGTGAGAACTGACAGTTCTTGCTACTAAACTTTGTTTATGCAAAATTTTTGTCTGGGCACACCATGTTAAGGCAAGGAGGGAAGAAAGCTTCTAATATTAGCTTGTTTCACATTCTGGTCACATCAAATTGGTGACGTCTTCAGTAGTTTTTGGTGATGTTTATGTTGGCGTGTGTTTATGCAGAATAAAGTTTTCTATCACTCTCACTTCCAGTTAGTTTTGTGAACCACGCTGAAAGTAAGGAAAATAAAATAATAGGAAGTTGGTCTGGTTTCCTGTAGGAAACCAATGAAGATGAAATTGGTTCTTGGAATGAACCCACAGTAGTCTGGGAAATACTGTCAGAGAAGACGTTTTTCTGAATCATAAATAGTGAGTATTATGACTCATAAAGTAGGTCACTGAGAGGCTGATCTGATCTTGTACATGGGAGAAAGTGAGAGAAGGACTGAAACTTGTTATTAAAAACAGTAAATTTAACAGAATGATGTCATCACTCGGAACAAATTATCCAGTGTGCATTCCTGTCTGTTTTGATGAGGAATGGGGATTAGCTATCGTACTGTAACTTCCCTATTGGGTGTTCAGAAAACAGTAGCACATTCACTTCATAGCTATTAAATAAATAGTCTAGCCTCATGTTTTCTATCCAGTCTTTGTATGCTCTGCTGTTTTGGCTCTTGGTGCTCTGGGAATCCTCAGTGCTAACCATGATTTGTTTCCTTTTAATTAGGGTTTGTGGGGGTAGTTGTTTACAGTATGTTGATTCTAAATACTAAAAAATTGTTGGGTATAAGTAGCATGCAAATATCTTAATCTAAATTCTGTTACACAAAACTCTACTCATATCCTTCTTTCCGTTAAATGCCTTGGGAATTGATTCTCCAAATGCTGACTCGGCTCAAATGATATGCATAGCCTTTCTATGGCATTATTTCAGGAGGTATGTATCATACAGATTCTTCTGTTCAGTTTTGGTTCCTTGTTAGTAGACACATTTGTATTTGGAGTATGCAGGAATGAACTGTAGGAAATAAGCCTTACCACTGCTACCTGAAATGTGAAATGTGAAAATCAAGAGGATTTTAGCGTGTAAGCTACCACTTGCTTAAGGATCTCTCTTATGCTGACCATTGGATTCAGCTTCACCTCTGAGTCCTTTCTTTTCCTGCTGTAGTTTTGTCCTCTTCTGAGAGGAGGCCTTCAGTCTTGGAAGGCTTTTGGTCACCACTTTTTCCATAGGTACAAGACACGCTGACAAAATTTAAGAACTTTATAACTTCTGATGGTTCTGGCATTTCTATCTGTGTCAAATACTAATTCTTAATTGTGAACACGTTCTGTCAACTACTAATTGTAGCTTTCAACTCTGTGCCTATTAGTGTAACTATGTCTGCTTTCATGCTAGGTAGAAGATGAGGGGGCAATAGGAAAGATGGGGAAACAGGAAATAGCAAGATCAGTAAATAACTACAAGATCTGCAGAGCCCAAGGAGGAAAATTTCAAACTGGATTAGAAAGCAGTGTTCACTGGGATGAACTGCTGCATCCTGAACTCATGGCTTGCCTGCTGTGTGGTAGGAAATAGGGGAAGATGCAGGGTGGGGAAACATGAAGCATGCAAGCTAAAATTTATATCACCTCATTTTGTAGGGTCACAGAATGGTTAAGGTTGGAAGGAATCTCTGGAGATCATCTAGTTCAACACCCCTCGTCAAAGCAGGATGAGCTAGAGCAAGTGACTCAGGGCTATGACCAGTCAGCTTCTGAGTGTCTCTGTGTGGAGACTCCATAACCCCTGTGGGGAATTGTTCTAGTACTCGACCACCCTCCCTGTGAAAAGGCTTCTTATGTCTAAATGGAATATTGTGATTTCAATTTAGGCCCATCATTTCTTGTACTTTCACTGGATACAGCTGAGAAGAGTCTTACTATGTTCTCTTTACAGCCTCTTATCACATACTTATACATATGGATAACTTCCCTTCTTTCCGCTTCCCTCCAACCCAGCCTTCTCCATGCTAAACAAACCCAGCTTTCTCAGCTCTTGTGTGAGAGCCATCTCCATTTTTTGTGTCAGTTTGCTGCACTTGCAGCATTATGTCCATGCCTTCTGTGTTCAGTTCTGGGCTGCCCAGTACAGTGTTCAAGAGGAGGTCTCACCAGTGCTCATTAGAGAGGATGATGCGAAGCTGAATTCAACAAACCTCCCTTCAAGTGCTGGCAACACTCATCCTAATGCATCCCAGGATTCTCTTGGCCTCTTGCTGCAAAAACCCATTGCTGGTTCATGTTTAATTTGTTGACCCCCAAGAGGCCCAGATCTCTTTCTGCTAAGGCCCGTTCCAGCTGGTCAGCTGGCAGCATGTATTGGTGTATGCAGTTATTCTTCCCCAGATGCAAGACTTTGCACTCACCTTTGTTGAACTTCATGTTTGTTTGTTTTGTTTTGTTTTGTTTTTCCCTGTGCCTATTTCTCTGATCGTCAAAAGCCCTCTTAGTGGCAGCACAATCCTCTGGTGCATCAGTGAGTTTTGTATCATCATCCAGCGTGCTGAGAGTTCGCTCTGTCCAAGATGGTTGAGCAATACTGGTCCCAGTATCAATGCCTGGAGTATTCCACTACTGATTGACTTCCAGCTGACCTTTTTGATCACAACCCCCTGAAAGCAGTAGTTCAGTCACCTAACTGGACCTAACCCATATGTTATTAGCTTGTCTGGGACATAGTTATAGGAGACAGCATCAAAACCCTTACTAACATCAAGATGAACAAAATCCACTGCTCCCCCCTCATCCATCAAGCCAGTCATCTGACTGTAGAAAACTATAGGTTTATGAGGCATGATTTCCCCCCAGAATTCATGCTGAGTATTTCTGGCCACCTTCTTATCCTTTATGTGTCCAGAAATTATTTTCAGGATTAGTTGTTCCATCATTTTCCCAGGAATAGAGGTGAGGCAGACTGACCTGAAGTTCCCTAGCTCTACTTCTTGACCTTCTTGAATATGAGTGCCACTTGCTTTCTTCCCTTTCCCCTTAATTATCACAACATTTTGAAGATAATCAGAAGTGCCCTAGCAAAGATGTTGCCCAGCTTCCTCAACTCTCACGGACACATTGCAGTCTGTACATGGACTTCTGTATTTCCAGTTGGTTTAAATGTTCCCTAACATGGTCCTCTTCCACCAAGGGGAAGTCTGCCTTTTCTCTATACTTTCCCTCTTGTTTCAGGTATGTGAGATTTCCAAAGACCTGTATTACAAGTGAAAACTGAGGCAAGGAAGACATCTTCTGAATACCTTGGCCTTTTCTGTGTGCTTTGTCTCAGCCCCACTCAGCAGTGGGCATGCATTTCTTGCTGTTTATGGACCCGTAGAAGCCCCTTGTTGCCCTCCACACTCCCTTGCCTTATTCAACTCCAGGTGGTCTTTGACTTTCCGAGATGCATCCCTGCATGCACATACTGTGCCTCTCGTGGATCACCTATATTCCTGCTTCTCCCTCTTGCACACTTTCTTTTCATGTTTGAGTTTAATCAGGTGTTCCTTGTTCTCCCATGCAGGTCTCTTAATGCCTTTGATTTCCTGCTTGTTGGGTTGGACCATTCTTGATCTTGGAAGTGATACTTGAAAATGAACCAGCTCTCCTGGGCACCTCTTATCCAGAGCTTTGTTCCATGGGATTCTTCCCACCAGATCCCTGAAGGGGCCTAAGTCTGTTCTCCTAAAGTATAGGGTATGGTCCTGTTATTTGCCTTATTTCTTCCTCTCAGGATCCTGAACTCCTCCATGGCATGGTGCCAGTAACCTTAGTTGCCCTGACTTTCACATTCCCAATCATTTTTTAATGTTTGTAAGTACCAGGTTCAGCCTAGCATTTCCCCTTGTCAGATCCTTGATCATCTGTGTCAGGAAGCTATCAGCACACTCAGACCCTCTTGATTGCTCCTGCCCAGCTGTGTTGTACCTCCAGCAGATACCAAGGTGCTTAAAGTCTCCCATGAGCACCACGAACTACAAATGTGAGACTTCTAGTTGTTTTTAGAAAGGCCTCATCTACTTCGTGTTACGAAGCCTGTTTTTATTACCCGTAATGCTCTGTCCTGTGGAGTGCAAAACCCTATGGGAGATGGATGGGGCTTCCTTTTCACTTCCTAGCATTGTTTAACATGGGATGTTCCTTTTCCATGCAATTGGGAACTCATTTTTATGGTGGTGAAGGCTGTATCTGAGATGTAGCCTAGAAGCATCCCTGAGTTCGCAATACAAAATGCATCAATTAAGTACAAATTATCTGTTGCTGGCTCTCTTGAAGGTGTTATCGCTGATGCTATGGGAATGGTTCCCCTTCTCTCTCATTCCCTAATTGAAAATCATCCATGAGAAAGCCTGTGTAGGAGAGGGTGATGTCTGCCTGAGGCAGTCTCATGTCAAGAAACTAGTTCAGGTGTATGTTTTCAGTGCGCTTTTAGCTATGAGGAAGACCAAGGTACAGCGCTAAACAGTTTACCACCAAAGCAAAACTGCAAACTCAAATCTCCTGATCCTTCATCTCCATGGTCCTTACAAGGTCTATGTTTGTCCTGTTCAGTAGCCAGGCTCATGATTCTGCCCTCCATACAGAGCCGTTTTCTGATAGGACCTTTATTCTAAACACCCTTAAATTTGGCTTGGATGACTTGTAACCATTCTAGCAACACCATTAAAGTAACTTCTACTGATTGGTGCTACTACCTGTCTATTTTGTAAAACTAGTCCTGAAAGTACTGTTGGAGATACATGTTTTGATATTGTAGGTGGGTTTTTTTTTTTTCCGCTTAATCGTGGATAATCTGAAGGAGGCTATTTACGTCTTTAACAACAATATGCTATTACTTAGTCAGTTTTATTCTGATCCTTGCAGTCCTGGCAAAAGTTCTTTTTAATTTGATGCAATTTTGCTCAGATAAAACTTCAAGCCGAGTATTGAAGTGCTTTTGATTTTGTGCTATATCTCATGCATCATTCAGTATGCATCGCTGTGCTGTTGGATTATTGCGAGGTTTTAAGTTCAATACAAATATTGCAAAAACCCACAGCTTTTGGATTTTTTTAATGATGTTTTTGGTGTTTTAAAGTGAACAGTTTGGCCGTTGAGTGTAACAACGTCTAGTCCATTTAATTGAAAAGAATAGTAGCAGCACTTTGTTGTAGAGATGCAATATACCTTACACGTAGGCAAAAAATATCCTAACAGGCCTTAATTTTATGGAGTTGGAGAATTTTATAGTTATGTTTTATAGAATATTTTATTGTCTTAAGATGATATCAAATTACATTTAATTCAGCATTTATAGCAATTCATTTTATTAGCCAAAAACGAGTTTTCAAACCTGATCTGGGCTATAATAGGACTATAAATGTAGAACCTTCTGCCGCAGGGTATTTCTGATTAACGTAGGATCCCCTGCGTGGGCTACCATGTTTTGTGGTATAGTTGGCTACCTGTTTGTCTCCTGCTGTCTGTTTACAGCTGTTTACGTGGCAGCTCATAATATAGCTCCTGATCACAACATGCTCCCTCTACACGTTATATGAACAAGCATATTCAGTGTTTGAATAGTTGAGGCAGGGCCATTAGTTTCTCTGCCATAAATATAAAGACATAAAAACTAGCTGAGCTACCTTCTGTCCTTCAGAAAGCTTTTTTGTGTTTGCTTGTGCTGGTGGATATGCACGATGTGATCCTGAGAGACACGGCACAGTCTTACTGTAGCTCAGCACACGCTTCTACCACTGGAGTTTCAGGCTGTTGGAAATACTGGGATGCTTTTCTGGGTTCTGCCCAAGAAGTGGTGTCCTTGTGGGATGGAGTCACAGTGCGCCAGAGGGTGGAAGGAGAGGGTTCCTTTGGAATGCTGATATGTGGTGGTCTGCGTATCATTCAGAAACCCCGTTTAAGCAATCACATTCCCTTTAAACAGTCAAATTTTAAGTGGTTTTACCTGAATTATTCTGTGCTTTTTTTTTTAAATATAATACAGCACTGTTCAAACAATTTTCTGTTTGACTTAGGAAGCAGGGTAATTCTGGTAATGACTAGCATTTGGAATTTTGTATTTTTCTTCATTTGGGTCACTAAATATTTATGGCACTTCACAGAGTCTCTTTAATTGTAGCCAATATTGTCAGATTAAATAGATCCAAAACCAAATACTATATAGTAACTTAATACAAGTATTAACTTTATTAAACAGATTAACTTAAATTAGTAGTTAAATACCCCTTTTATGGCTGCAAATATTGTGAACACACCGAAAGAACAATGGAATAATGCGCCCAGTGGTGCTAAAAAGTATTAGGAGTATTAGGAAATAAAAGCTTTAAGAAATTGCTCCTAATGCAGAATACTATTTATGTCAATGCCACCAGAGAAAATTGAGGTTTATGTTTATGGACATACCTTAATACCACAAGATATTGCTGATATCTTCTCCCTGCCCACCTATTCTACAAATCTGGCCTTCTCCTTATCTTTCCCCCTCCCTCAAAAGAGAAAAAAAAAAAAAAAAACACAATGTTCAGCCATTGCTCCCAGGCAATTTTTTATCCTAGAAAAATATGTAAGAGTTGATACACGCTTTAGTTCTTGCTGATCATATTTGTAGTTTGTGACGATATCTTGGTAGGTTTTTGCTTTTGAATTGCTCATTTTGTTGGTTTTGTCATGGATCATTTCCAGGGTAAATGCTAAGCTCATTTCTCCCTACAAGTTATTCAAGTGCATCGGGAGAGCAACAATGTAAAAAAAAAGAAGTATTTGAATGCTTATCAGGGCTGTGAAGGGGACCAGGCTGAGCCCTGAAACAGGGCTTCTCCATCTGGCTGGCAATTAAACCGCGAGGTGTGCCCTGCCGCGGTTCCGTAGCTGAGGGTTAGAGGTCCCGTTTGGTTATTTGCAGCCTCAGCTGGGCGCCGTTCGCATGATGTTTCGCATTGCAATAGGAGACGCTTTCTGTAGAGCCGTTCTTGCGCCGTGCGGCGCGCGCGGAGCCGGCTGAGCGCTGATGAATGAAGTGGTGCTTATCCCGGTGACCCCGCTGACGGATGAGGTACCACCTCCTTCAGCTCGCGCGTTGTGTGTGGCTCCTGCTGGAGCCATCCGCACTTTTTCCCTCACCGACCTCTGAATTTTAAATCTGGCAAAGTGAAGGTGGGGGGCAGGATCGTAATTCATCCAGTGCGTCAGCCCCGCACTAGGTCTGGATCACTGCTGCTGAAATCGAGCCCTCAGTTAGCTCTGCTGCGTAATGGGGTTACAAAATCTGAGCAAACTGCTATATAACAAACTTCTCATAACCAAATGTGTCCTCTTGACTGAGGCTATTAGTGAAAGAAGGTTGTTAACCTGGATTCCCTTTTTTAAGAAGAGTCGTTGGTTTTTATTTTAGGTATCTACATTTCTGCCTTAAATGTCTTAAATGTAGCTATTTAAGCATGGAAAGGAGATACCAAACTGCTTTCTGCTTTTGGGGCAGAAAGAGGGAGCAGTGATCTAAAACTCCGAGAGCTGCTTCTTCCAGCTGCTGCGTGGGGAAAAAGTTGAAAGTTGAAGCAAAAATTAAAAAAAAAGGTGAAATTTGATGGCAAGGGAAGACAGAGCTGTGGGTTTGTGGGGTTTTATTTCTTGTGTCGCGTAGATGGCAGCAGAGGGTTGCACACAGCGGAGCAGCTCCATCGCGCAAGGGGAAAGGGAGACAGGGACACTGCAAGCTGACTTGTACCAACTGCAGCCTTGAGAAGCTTGTGGCTGGGCATAAAATAGGAAAGAAAGCTACTATTGATAGTAGAAGCGCAGAGAGGATGAAGAAGGGTATGAGATGCCATAAAGTACTGAATTTCTGGAGTAGTCCCAGGTGGCAAAACTTAATCTTTTAAGGTATGTCATCCACTCATGCAACATGATTGAAATCAGCTAACATAATATGCATGTCAAAATAAAGAGACAGAAAGAAAAAGAAAGTATTCACAAGCTGCAACTGAAAGTAATATAGAGCTGCCTTGGGGTACTGTAGGAATTGGCCAGAATGCCTATTTTTTAGTTAAGCAAGTTAGAGAAAGGAAATGTCAGTCCTCAGCTCAGGCAAGCATTCTTTGGGAAGGTTTGCTCAAATGTCAGAGTTTTTTGAAAAGAGCTGCAGTCTGTCAGACCCCAGTGCCCCAAGTTAGATTTACCTTTAAAATGGGTCAAGCTGAAAATCTCTCTCTAGAAGTGCTGGTTTAATAAAAGTAGCAGAGTACCTGATTTAGCATTTACTAGGTATGAAATTAGTGGCAGCAAAAGAGATGTGATCATCCAGACATTAAAGAGACTTCTGTTAAATGCTCATCTGCATCCAAAATTTTGTAGTTGGACTATCCCAAAACAAAAGATGGACTTCTGGATCTGTTAAAGGCTTTGGTATTCTCTTGCCTTTGATGTGAATGACTGCTTAAGACCAGGCATTTTAAGATATCGTAGTAAGAGGAAAGAAAATAAATATTATAGCATGACTAGAATAGTCTAGAAATTATATCAATATAGAGTGCTGTCTTATTATGGCAAAACATAATTACAGCTTTATTAGAGCGATAAGGCCGTTCAAGCGATACGGTCCCAACTAAGCACATGCTTTACCGTATATTTTCCTGTGGTACCTCCCTATAGTTTGCTTTCTGTAAGCAGATGCCTTTGTTGCAAATTTTGCCTGAAAGTTGTTATAACAACTTGGTGATATCTGGTAGGTTACTGTTGAGATAGTGGCTTGTTTCTCATATGATGTTTCTTTTCCTCAGATCTGATATTTTGATGATGCATCCATCCCCCTGAGCAGGCTAGTAACAAACCCAAACCGCAGTGTGATTTATTTCTTACAGGTTTGAAGAAAAGCATATTTGATTCATTTTGAAGTGTTGTAACTCATGCTACCAGTGACAGTTTACTAAGGTGAGAGCGGAATGTAAATTTACAGGAGTGTAGGTGGTTTCCAGTATCATTCATTGCATACTATGCAGAGTGCTAAAATCATAGCTCTGAATTCTGATCCTCTTTGTTATGACTCAATTACTGTTGATATCTGTATGAGAAGGTCTGCCTATGATTTTTCTTTTTTAATATCTTTGTAACATGAAAGCATTCTGATGGTTTTAAGAACAATTTTATTATCTTGTAACAATTATATGCAATTCTTGTTATCTGAATACTGGTGAAGCACTGTTACTAAATGGGGGAAATGCATGCAATTCGTTAGATAAGTAGTAATGTGAAGCCATCTTTCTGCAATTTTTTTCCCTCTTGCTGAATGTTAGATTAAATTGGCTCTTTTTTTTTTCTTTAAAAAAAAAATCTTGTGATTTTGAACGCACTTGCATTGGGACACATTAATTAAATCCTTGGAAAAAATAGGATAGTCATGCTTATATGTTTTTGGAAACTGCTTAACAAGTTGCTGTTCTAAGCATTATAAGTGGAATCTTTTGAAATATTTATGAGTGTGCAATAATATGTGCATTTCATTCCAGGGGAATTAAGTTAGTAGAGCAAATGTTAACTTTTAAAAAATACACAACAATAAAATTCTTTCTGTAAGAATAGTACCTGAGAATCCCAAGTGTCTTCGAGGCTAAACACTGCGGACTGCTATTTAAGCAAAATTTAATTGAAATAAATGTGTGTGAGGGATTTGGTGGAGAGCGAGAGCAGTTGTTGTCTCCTGCCTCGTTTCCATTGAGCTAGGATATTAGCTTGAATGACGTCATTTAATTTTCTCAATTTTGAAACTGTATATTTGCATAACAAAGCAGTATTTTTTTTCCCTTCAGGATCATTAGGACTGCTGGGGTGTATGTGTGTATGCGTGCTTCCAGACTCTCTTGCTGAGTAATACTAGATTTGTTCTCTTTGTTCTGTCTAAGCTTGGCTTTGTGGTTTGTGTAGTTTTAGAAATGTATATTCATCCTCCTGACTTCCTTCATGTGTGGAAGAAATGCGTTGTACATTTTAAAACTACTTGGTATGTTTTATGAGCATGCAAAACAAGTGAAATAAAATATTTTCAGTGGTAAAAATGGTTTTGCTTATTTTGTTACTGCGTGAAGCTATATAGAGATAACGTAAAAACAAACAAATTGTGGAAGAATTGCTGCAGTGAGACACACGATTAAGATTGTAGAACCTATGATTAAGAACTGCTCTGTGGTCAGTAATGACAGAACACAATTACATGAGGAGGGGTTATTCCACTATTACAGTACTCTCTAGACACGACTTTCTATTTTTCTTATAAAAGTAATTTAGAAGTTGAAGATGAAACAAAATATGTTTAAGAGTTCCAGAATTTTAATGAGTTTTGTTGCTGTTCTTTTTTTTTTTTTGCTTTGTTAGTTTCAGTGCATTTTTACATACTAGACACAGTTATTCCATATAACTGTGTTTTAAAATACAGCAACTGAGCAAAATATGAGCTGTCATCTTGAGACATTTAGAATCACTGTTTTTGTTGTGATCATTTTTCTATTTACAGCAGAGATCTGGGGTAAACTTGTGTAGAATATCATACTTTAATTGTTTAAATCCTTGGTAAATCAAATAATTGTATAACTTGTAAAGAGTATGCACATCTGGTATTTAATAATAAGCCCCCTGAATCATGAAGCAGTTTGGTTTAAACAAAATGCTGTTGCAGTTTAGACATAACAAAGCAGCATCACAATGAAATTCATCAGGGAGTTAAAAAATCATTCAGGAGATTTATTAGCTCACCTCAGGAATAACGGAGAGTGATATCTTTGGAACAAGTGCGTGATGCCTGCTGGTGCAGAACACAGGCCCAGAGAAAGAAAATTTTCATCAGCATTTGTGTCCTAACACAAACCTTGTTTTGCAGAGGACTTGGGTGTGTTTTGCAAAGCAACAGGTTTATTAGAAAAGACTTTTTTTTCCTATTTCTTTTTTTAGTTCAGCTCTGGCTGCCATTGCATAGAGTACTTAATGCTCCTTAACTTCTATTAAATTCAGTCTCTATTAAATAGCTTTTCTGTTGGCTAGTTGCATGAAGTATCTTTGACAATAGACTCCAAAAATAGCGCAACTAGAGCAGTCAGAGCAGCACTCTGGTCGTTTTTCTTGCCTGTACGACTATCCATAGTCGTGTTCCATTACCTTATATTTTCATTAAATACTTGTTGCATATATTGGTTTGAATAATTGCATTGTGAATGTCTATTGAAATGCATTTTCCTATAAGTGCATGATGGTAAGAAATACATTTTAATTTTAGGCAGACATTCTTGCATAATGTTGCTTTATGATGATGCAATTTCACTGGCATAGCATCAAAACGAAGGATAAAGCATCAAACAAGGATATAAAAAGAAATTAAAGGATGCTAAAAGTTTGAAGCTCTGCTTAAGAGATTTTAATATGCTTAATATTCCTGAATATTTTTGCAGCTTTTTTTTTTTCCATGTGTGTGGAACAAGTTGCAAGTCCTGTGGAGCTTTTCTAATTTTAGTTTGCTGCAGTACTTTCTTCCTTTGACTTGTCTCTAAAACTCCAGTGTGGCAAAGAACATCCTCTATAAATGATGTATTTTAATTACAAGGTATATGCAACCTATGTATTTAGTTAGCTGGGCAGTAAATTTTAATTGCAGAGCTCTAAAAAATGTTCCTGAAAACACAGCATACATTCATCATTCCAGAGTGTATGAAGCTAATAAAAGATTCACTCATTTTACTGAAAACACATCATTTTATTTAAAAAAAAATAAAAAAAAAGTTAAAAAATTGTTACGTAGTGGACAATATAGGATATTAATTATTTCTGGTACTGATATCTCTTCTATACTGTAATTTTGCCTGTGTATAAATTTCACTTATAGTAACAGCCCTTGCAAGATTTATCTGAAATAAAATAATACAAAATTCTTTCAGTAGATTTTGGAAGATTAAATTTAATTAAAGCAATATGGTATGTAAATAGGTGATAAATGAGAATTTTTTTTCTTTTCCTTTTTTTTTTTTCTGCAATATTGGATTTTTCTGATGGTGCTTAAAATAATTCCGAAGAAACAAGAAGAAAATGGGACTGATTGACTTGTATTAGGGTCTAAGACAGAGGCCACTAATGTTACTTGAAGCAATTCTGCACAAACATGCTTGGGAGCATTTCACAGTTGCAAGTTTCTTGTTACTGTTTGTTCTGCATCTAATACTTTGACTTGGTTGAGATATCAGTGTTTTGGGGTATTGTGCATTCTTTTAACATTCAACTGTTTCAGAGTGTCGTTACTGAATATCACAAACTTTGGGTAAATCTATTTTGTAATGTTAATATGTTTGCTGCTGAATTATTAAATACAATGATGAGAAATATATTTTAGAAAATAAGACTGTAAGTATTTGGTGTTAATTAAGATTTAAAAGAATGTCAAGAGCTCTGTTGAAAACCAAAACTTCAGATAGTTTTGGTAGAGTCGCATTAACCTTTTTAAATAAAGTACTTTACTACGTGTAATTCTTTGCCTACCACTTGTGATCAAGATACTGAACTAGAATTCTCCTATAAATATTAGTGTAGGCTATTCTTTATTTATATTAAATAAATCAAAGCAAATGACTTGCACTTTCTCTTTAGTGTTTCACATTAAATAATGAGATATCTGATGGTTAGCATCAAGTCTTGTTGAAGTCAAAATTTTACAATAATAACATGCAAGTGATCAGTATAAATTATTTATGATAGTGTCACTGTAGACCTCATAATCTAAGAATGGTATTACTGTTGCAATTTAATACTTGAAAATACCTGTAACACTATCTAACATGAAAACCTCGTCATCGTTCAAAGGGCAATTTTTCCATCCATCCCGTGGCTTCCATATTAAAGTTGAAATTTTTAATCCAAGAATGTTTTGCTTAAAAAAAAAA